GCTGCCGCCGCCCCGGAGCTGCGGCTTCCCGGGTCAAGCCCCCGATGGAAGCAGAGGCCGCGGAAGCCCCCCCGGGAGGGGTCGAGGCGGCGCTTAGCTGCTTTTCTTTCAACCAGGACTGCACGTAAGCCTCGGGGCGAACCCCTGCCAGGAAAGTGGGGGACAGAATGTCATGTCCAAGGGGTGTTGTCCTGTACGCAACTTGTGGCAAGAGAGGCGCGGGCCTGCACTCTGGAGGGCCTCGGCCCGACGGCCGGTGTTTGCAGCGCACGAGTTGGGGTCTCGTTAGCTACTCTGTACCTAGCAGTGGCTTCCCCATTGCCGTCCGCGAGGCAGCGGGGCCAGCCCAGGGCCAAAGAAGAGAGTTAGCAACGGGAGTGGGATTGGGGGAGGCTACGGAATAGGGGACAGAGGGCGGGGGAAGCTGGCCACCAAATTGAGGGTCTCGGAAGAGGACAGTGGCCAAAACAAAGGAAATCGGAGGAATGGAGAAACTTGCAAGTTGACCTAAGACGGTGTAGTTGGGGCCAGGAAGATGGAAGTACAGGAAAAACTTTCCCATTTGTCCTTGAGCATCTCAACGTGGCATCTGGGCAGGGCCTCGGACAAAGAGGCAGCCTATCCCTGTGGCCAGGCCAGCCCTGTCCCAGCCCCAGCCCCAGCGCAGGGCATGGAGCCTGCCTGCTCTGGTTGGAAGAAACTTTCAATTTTTTCTCCCTGTGTTTTCCCCGAGGCAGAATCCCCTTCTCTAGTCCAAAAGCCCTTCCTGGGGCCCAGACTGCTTTCTCTCCGAGAAGCAGAAACTCCACCCTACTGCTTTTGAGTGGATTTTTAATGTTTTACTTTGATGTTCACGTTGGGACTTTGGCCAGAGGCCGAGAGTCGCTGAACTGTTTCTGGCATCTGCAAGGTTCTGTCGGTTGCCTTCCCTCTTTGCGTGGAAGTGAGCCCCGGGAACCATATGGAATAATCTCTTTGGAATGTGCACCCCAAGCATCAAACAGGGATGACCACTTCCTAGTTTCCCACTTCCTGCTGTCCCAGTTCTGTTGGGTTCCTTGTTTGGAGCCCACTTCAAGCTTGTGCCTGGGCTGCTGTGGACAGAGTTATGCTAATATCGAAGTCAGTGGTGGTCAGACTGTCGCATACTATAAGCAACCCTGGCTTCCATTCCCTTTGCGTTTCTGTTTAAAAACACCCTGTACTGAACAATATGCCTTTGTTTGGAAAAACCGTATGTGTAATCATGTAATTGAGCAGCTCGACTGCTTGGTTGAGCGGTGACTTTCAGGCTTTTCTTAACCACAACTCACAATAAGTACATCTGACAGCATCACCCAATACACATACAACGTATATTCGATAATATCCATACAGTATTATGTGCAATTTCCTTTGCCTTTTTTCTTTTTTTAGTGGTTTGTGACCCACTGAACCACTTTTAGGATCCGCTGATGGGGTGAGACCTGTAGTTTATAAAAATGATGGTATCACGTAAAATTCTGATGTTTTGTAAGACACATTTTGCAAGAGGGTATGACTGTTGAAATGCCTCAATAATGTTTTCCTTCCCAACTGAACACAGGTTAAGGAAGGGAGTGCGTTTGCTTCAAAGTAGTAAATGTTCTGAATTCTGCTTTGTAACATTATTAGATTGGGGGGGGGAGATTATGTCAATTTTTACTTATTGAATAATACAGAGTAAGTTCCAGCTTTCTATAGCAATTAGATAAGAATGTTATTTTTGAAACTGTAGGGTGCCTTGAAAGTTAATTTCCTTAGCCCTCACGCTCAGTCTGTTTTCTTGGATGAAGTCTCTGCTGGGCAGCTAGCTCTATCTTGCCTATAAATAAAAGTTCTTGTCACAGTCAGTTGCTTTGAGCCATGGAGTGTATGACATTGGATTTTAAAATAAGTCTAGCCCCTTACTGAATACATCTGTATGTATCCGTGTTATTTTTTTTCTATAAATTTCTTGAGAATGTGGGCCAAGACAGTTAAGTTTTACCAGCCCCCTACATTCATACTTCATGTTTGATGCTGTGCTAGACATTTTGGGTACATTTTAAAATGTGATTAGGGAAGTATATTTGTCCCAAATGCCATTCGCATGCACAGGGATGAGAATTTTGTTTCTACAGAAAGGCCTTATGAATAAAATAAAATCTAAACCAGAATTCCTGATTGAGAGTCTCTTGTGGCCATTGATCAGCCATTTAAAACACAATGGGGGGGGGCAGTCAGCAGGTGGCGTAGTGGTTAAGGTGTTGGACTCCCATGTGGTTGACTGTGGCTTGAGCTCTGAACCTAGTGGCTTGAAATTCATACTGGGCATGTGTCCATGAGTGCCCAAGATCCCGGGAGGAGGGTAGAGGAGAAAGGATTGTGGCATGGCCATCCCCCTGGGGGGTGGTTTCTTGCTTTCCTCTGTCTCTCCTGCAAGCACACATGCCCTATAGCAAAAAATCTCTCAAAAACAAACCAAAATAAAGAATCCCCAAAACAAAAACGTAATGAGACCAGCATGTGGTGTCAAGATGCTGGACTCCCACATGACCAATGATGGTTCCAGTCTCAGACCTGAAGGTTTGCTTTCTCAACTTCTCTCTCTCTCACTTACATGCCCTATAGCAAATTAAGAAATCGTGATGATAATGGGACCAGCAGATGGTGTGATGGTTGCGTTGCTGGACTCCCACATGGTCGATCGTGATTCAAGACCTGTACCCAGTGGCTTGGGAGTCATATTGGTCGTGTGTGTGTGTGTGTGTGTGTGTGTGTGTGTGTGCGTGTGTGCATGCATGCACACGGGTGCTTAAAATCCTGAAACTGGAAGAGAAGGGATTGCAGCGAGGTCATCCCTCTTGGGGGGGGGGGGGGGGTGGCTCGGTTTTGGGGGGGGGGTGTGTGATAGCTCGTTTTCTGTCTCTCTGTCTCTCTAGCGAGCATATACACCCTATAGCAAAAATCTCTCTTTAAAAATAAAAAAGAAATAATAATTATTATTGGACCAGCAGATGACATAATGGTTATGTCACTGGACTCCCATGTGTTGGACCATGGTTTGAGTCCTGGACCCAGCAGCTTAAAACCAACAACAAAAACAACTCACATCAGGCACATGTGTGTACATGCCCAAGATCCTGTGGTATGGCCATTCCCCTGGAGGGTGATTTCACTCTTTTTTATATGTCTCTATCTCTCTGGCAAGTGCACATTTCCTATAGCAAAAAATATCTCTCGAAAGCATTTTTTTAAGTAAAATTAAAATTATTATTATAAATAAAAGAAAATTAATATTTAAAAAGCAAAAACAAAATGGTAATCCCTCTGCTGTTTTTTCATGTATAAAATTCTCTCCCAGAAGCAGGGATTATGTTTGAAATTCTTTAAATTGCTAACTCTTCTAGTTACTATTACAAGACTCTAGTTGCAGTATTTTTTCTCCTTACTTGCAAACTTTACAAACTTCAGTTTGCAACTGAACATATCTATATTTACATGAAAAAGTTTATGTGAAGAAAGTTTAAAAACAGGGGACCAGCCAGCAGTTGGCATAATGGCTATGTCGCTGGACTCCCATGTACTCAACCGCGGTTCGAGTGCTGGAACTGGTGGCTTAAACTCACGCTGGGCGCGTGTGCGTGCGTGCCCAAGATCCCGAGAAGAGAATGGAGGAGAAGGGATTGCGGTGTGGCCACTCCTCTGGGGTGTGTTTCTCGCTTTCTGTCCTTTCTCTCCCTGTCTTTCTTGCGAGCGCACATGCCCTAATAGCAAAAACCTCTCACAAAATAAAAAGGAAAGTTTAAAAACAGTAGTAACTACGGAGTATATTTTGAACTTTTAAGGTAGTCTTAGCTTACTTTTCCAAGCCCCAGTTCCAAATGCTTTGCTGCTGCTCTCTATGTGTGGCTGTTTAGCTGTTGAGCAGGTCGGAAAACTGAGGAACAGAACCAGCCACCTTACTGATTAAAAGTTACCTGTAGTCACCTAACCCCGTGTCCCAAGGAAGAATAAATGTTTGGGTAGAAAAAAAAAAAAATACCAAGGAAAATCATGTGACCTTTTTTTATTTTTAAAAATTATTTTATTTAGGGATCCAGCAGTTAGCGTAATGGCTATGTCGCTGGACTCCCATGTAGTCGACCGCGGGTCG